GGGGGGGGGGGGTTAGTAAACGCGGAAAGCGATTTAACAGCAATCCCTGAATCCTGGCTGCCGACCCTTTGTTCAGGGCATGCTCCGCGACGTGGCGATTAGTGTCGCCCTGGAAGAAGATGTGCAGGGCCTGACTCTGCAGGAGGTTCGATACAGGAGCCCTTAGTTAGAACAGGGATTTGGGCCCTAAGCCCTAAACCCTAAACCCTTGAAGCATAATTATAAGGAGGAGCCCTAGGGCTGCTATTCCGGCCTGTATAAGAGAGCGTTAGGGCTCCCGGGTAGGAGGTTTACGGTTTAAGGGTCTGGGATTGTGGGTATAGGGGCTTAAAGTCTAGGGTTTAGGAATCAAGGACATCGGGCTCACAATTTTTCGGGAATAACGCGCTTGGACTTGCCTTGACCCAAGAAGTATGTAGAGTGTAGATAGCCTTTTGTGGGTGTTGGGGCCATTAGTTTACCTACTTGCTTGTTTATGCTTTTGTTTTTTATTTTGAGGGGGGAGGGGTCAAATTAGGCTTGCGGGTTTAATCGTGTTTAGGCGACAGTCTGGGGCTTGAGGTTTTCGGTGCCCATTTGGCAACTTACCTCCTTAACGCTAAACCCTAAACCCTGGGGGCTCGAGCCCAAGTCTCGAATCGCTTCACTTAAGACCGAAAAGACACCAAAGCAACAATCGCGCGAGTCCTACCTGTAATTTTAAGGCCTTAATACTTAGAATACGGCTTCGCGGCATATTCCCACTAAACATTCTAAGACCCTTATAAGGAAAAGTATTGGTAACTAACCAGACCCCATTTTTTTGCTTAAGTACGTGGGCCTTTGGGGCATGGGAAGGTTGCTTGGCGTCGACTGTTCTGTTAGTGTGCAACCCAGAGACTCCAATATCCCTNNATGTACCTTAAATCATATTAGGGATCTTACTATAATTTAAGGCATATTCCTTAATTAAGGAATATTGGAGTCTCTGGCAACTGCGGACCTTCGATTGCGGAAGCCTGGATGCTGCTTTGCACCATTCCACCACCACAAGCTTGCGTTAGTGCTCTTCTTAGCCCCGAAACCCAAAGACTGCTCCTTGGGGTCCTTATCTGCTGGAGGCCTAAACCCTAAGCCCTCTAGCCAACACCTCGAAATATCCAAAAGCCCACAGGGAATGCCTGTTGTTTCCCTTTCTTCGCTAGGCCGTAGTCCGCACATGTCTCCCTCCCTAAAGCCCTGCAGTTGTAATTCTTTAAAACCTAATGCAATAATTCTGGTCGCCCCTCAAAAACCATACACCCTAAACCCCAAACCCCTAAACCCACAAACTCCCAAGCCGTCAACGCTCCGCTGAACTTATAGAACCCGCAGCAGCCCCCTCTACGAACCCAAATCGAACCCGTAAACCCCAAAACCCTAAACCCCAGAACCCTAAACACTAAACCTTAAACCCCAAAACCCTAAATCCTAAACCTTAAACCCTAAACCCCAAAACCCTAAACCCTGAACCCTAAACCCTAATACGAACCCAAATCGAACCCTTACGCCTAAACCCCAAACCCCAAAACCCTAAACCCTAAACCCTCAACCCTAAACCCTACACCCCTAAACCCTAAACCTTAAACCTCATAGAACCTAAATCGAGCCCTTATGAACCTTAAACCCTGAACCAAGACAAGGTGGTGCCTCTTCTTCTGTCCCCCCGACCGGGGTCGACAGCCCACGCACCTTTAAGGGGTTTAAGGTATAGGGTTTAGGGTTTAGGGTTTAGGGCTCAGGGTTTAGGGTGTAGGGTTGGGGCTGAAGGGGTCCAGGGTTTACCTATAGTCTCCATCGAGGTTCCTTCTTTGGGGGTTACCTTATAGGATCCCAAATGTAAAGTTGGTTAGGGAAACCCCCCAAACACAAATCCTATATCCTAAACTCCAAGAAAGGAACTATGCAAAAACCCTAAATCCTATACCCTCTTACACCGCAATTTTAAACCCAAAACCCCAAACCCCGAAACCCCAAACAACAAAACACTCAACCGCTAAACCCCTAAACCCCCCTTTAACCCTCAGGTGGGTAGGGTGGATAGCGGGGTAATATGGGGCCTTAAGAAATTACCTATTCTGTTCCGGGTGCTCCTTATGATCATTATAGTATAATGGGCCCCAAACCCTACTCTAGTTAATAACGTCCCTAAACCCTAAACCCTAAACCCTATTCTAATTATCAAGGTCCCTAAACCCTAAACCCTAAACCCTCTTCTACTAAATCCTAAACCCTAAACCCTATTCCAATTACTAAGGTCCCTAAACCCTAAACGCTAAACACTCTTCTACTAAATCCTAAACCCTAAACCCTGTTCCAATTATTAAGGTCCCTAAACCCTAAACCCTATTCCAATTACTAAGGTCCCTAAACCCTAAGCCCTATTCCAATTACTAAGGTCCCTAAACCCTAAACCCTATTCCAATTACTAAGGCCCCTAAACCCTAAACCCTATTCCAATTACTAA